AAAAATGTAGAGGGTGGTGATGTAACTTTCTCTTGGAAGGTATACTGGTTCAAGTTCACTTGGAAGGTATAGCGATCTGAGATAGGTTTGTATTACCGATCCTCCCACTACATTTCCATAAGACATACGATCGCGATGATATAAGTTCAATTGTTTTGCGCCGGCGTCGCTGGGAGGGTGGCTCTTTTGTGCTTGTCGGCAGATGATATGTTCAGCGTTTGCGACCAACCGTTTTTCTCGTTGAAAAGCAATCTTCTGCTTCTTGTGATTTTTTGACGATGAAGAGAACAACCAGCACTATAGTGTTCAGAAGCTTTGCCCACGAAGTAAATCGAGTTTCTTAAAATAGTGGTTCTCGCTTCGTTGATGGTTCATAAGATAGGACCTTTTTTCTGTTTCTTCATCATTGATGGAATACTGGTGTTGTATGGCCACTTTTCGTCGGAATCAAGGAGAAATGAAGGTCTGTCGAGTAATAATTGAGAGTGCAGCAGCTCTTCCACAGACATTCCTCTAGCGCCAATGTCATCCGGATTTTTGTCTCCCGGAATAAACCGTAGGCGTTTTCTCACTTTTTGTCCACATAAGAGCTACCTTACATTCCGACCAAATGCTGTGGTTTCGGCTCGGAACATCGAGTTTCATATTGCGAAAGGCATCAGAACATTTATTGAGATGAACCCCTCCAACAGTCTTGGAGCGGCATATATATTATGTATATATATATATATGTATATTTATATATATATAGTACATACATATAAATACTCTATATATGTACATTTATACGACACTGTAGGAAGATATTTCAGTAAGATTAGTGATTAAGCTTATACAAAGGAACATTTGACCCTATGTTTGAACTGTTGGCTCATTCATTTTGACCTTCTAAAACATTATTGAAATATGATTCGTAGTTTTAACATTTGAAAAGAGAGAATATTCAAATTTCATGTCGCTCACCTTGTTGACAGCGGAGTCGGAGTCCATGTGTGGAGCTTGACACTTCTAATTTCTCAGGCCTCAGTATGCGGCCGTAAATTATGCTCGTGAGTTCCAATCTATATAATCTTTGATTTCAGTTTTGATTATTCCTTCATGTTTTGGGGGTTTGTTCAACGTATTTTACAAAAAGGGATATTAATATCACACGCACTTATCTCCCTGAGTGCTAACATGAGTCTGCACTCTTGATCACTCGGTTTTCTTTGTCTTGTGAACATACGAGGTAAGGAAAGCAGTTGACTTCTGTGAACACGCATGGCTTGGCCTGTCACTTGTGGGAATGTAAGGGCTAGTGTCTGAATGCAGAAGATATATGGCAAGAATGTCAAGAACCTTATCTAGTAGCATAGAAACAAAATCGTGAATTCACCCCATTCCTAACGTTGTGGAAGTCCACTATTCTTTAACAAGGCAGTATTCGCCTGTTGTTTATTAGCTTCCATGTAATTTCATATTCGTCTCAGGAAATGGAGCAGATGATACCTCACAAGAACAGGTATCTTTGGAGAATACTTTGGTGGAACCCTGCGATAATGGAGCTGAACTTGCAAGCTTTCAAACATGTGATTTCCTGCAGTGTTGGCTGCGGAAATCACATGTTCGAAAGCTGTTTGTTTGGGGGAGTTCTGTTGTCAACGTGCTGTAACGGTACCAGTCATGTAATGCAGTCTACAGGGTGCGCCATAAATGTGGTAACAACATAATTTGGCTACAGAAACAACAGCTCATATTGATAGATAGTGAATTTATGGGAACCATTTACTATGCATCGCCTCTACGAAAGAAGATACGGTCATATGACATAACCGCCTCCTGTGTTAATTATAGCTCGAAGACGGTTCGGCTACTCATGGACGTTAGCCAGAATTTCTTGAGAAACTTCTTAGGAGCAGCAACAGTGGTGCATTTTGGAGCGCAGGATTTCCTCTCCAGTATGGACTATATGAAGCAACCTATCTTATTGTGGCGGAAATTTGTAGAAGGATTGGAAGGTAGGATATGGTCGCGAGCATTTCTTAAGCACCAGTTTCGTTCTTTTCCCATTCATGAGCAAGTGCGCCTTAGTTTTCAAAATGGATCTCTAGGAAAATCTTTGACACTCAGTTGCTTCCTTTCAGAAAACCCCTTATTAATGAGGTTCGGAATTAATTTTGTACTTTTCTTCACCGAAATTTGCGATATCGCTCTGATGGTGGAGATTCTAGCTCAAACTATCGTGAAAAAGGGAAAATGGCCTTGCGAAGCGATCTGAATCTCCTCAATATCTTCAGCACTCGTAGTGTGCAATATACGTATACTCTGGGATCTCAACATTTCTTCCACGCTGAACACCCTTTGCTCAGAAAAAGGGTGTCGAAGTGCGTGCCGCGCGCAAGTAGCGCACGACTTTTGTTTTTACCCTTCAATTTCTTCTCGTCAAAAAGCGATGAGGCTCTTGAATCCTATTTGGATACAGTTTTATTTACTCTGAGTAG